CCAAATTCGATACCACCCTCATCTTGTTCGTCTCCACCTTCGTTAAGTTTGGCGTTTTCGGGCAACTGGCCACATGCTTTCAAATTTCGAGCCTCATCTGGGTTATACTTCAGTATGACATCCGCCTTAAAAATAAACTACTGTAAGCTGTAATTAGTAATTACAGATACCCGTTGATAGAGTGTGTGGATGTAAATGGTGGGTGCAATCAAGGTGTTTTGCTAAAAGCTATAAGAGCTAGTGTTAAAGACCATGATCCATTCCTACGCATAAAAATACTTGATGTTAGTGGAGATGTTAGGCGGGCATAAACTGCCTGTTGACAGAACGCATTCTGACAACAATTCTTGTGGGTATTCGCAGGAACTCCTAGCAACAGGAGAATCGCTCTACTTTCCAGCAAACAAAATAGTTTACAAGATAGAGCTGCCCAACAGTCTCGATGACGGTCGTTCTACGCTGCACAGTGCATAGGACAACTGAGAAGTCAAAGTTTCATAAAAGCTCTCTGCTATATTAGGAACGAACAACTCACTGTCAAAAGGAGCAATGGCATATCAAAGGACAGAACTTGTTTTGCGTGATTATAAAGAATTGTATTCGGTACTGAATCCAAAAGAAAAAAAAATCAAAAATTTTTTCATCTAATATCCATTTGGTCACTAGTTCCTTTGTCTAACTCGTTCAGACTATAAGGAACCTCTTAAAAAACAAACTATTACAGCCTGTCACGCATGACAAAAGAAGATTGGTACCATCAATCCTAATTTCAAGGCTATCAAATAATTCTTGAAAAAATGAAATAGAGAAATACAGCTCATCATCTGTTCTAATTTTATAACGATCCTTTCAAAAACTTTTCATCTTGAAGGAAAAAATTCCATATCTCAGAGCAGTTGATTGACTTCAAGCACGAAAAACTCCAAAGAAACAAACATAAGCAGCAAAATTCTCTCGGATATCCGGTAAAAAGTAGAGAAGTCCCTGCCTTGTTTAAAAAACAAAAAATGATACCTTATCATCCTGATAAGTCCTCAGTCCAATAAGAATAATGTCTCCAGTGTTTATCCACACCTTCTTCCTAAGCTTTCCACGAATATGGCAAAGTCTTTGTTTCCCATCAAAACAAAATGCAGTTAAACGGCCATTACCCAACATTTTTAATACCTGTGCATACTCTGGAAAAAATTCTTTATGTTTTTTTTAAAAGATGTGCTTTCCACATGTCACTATTAAAATGAAGGATGGATTACGAAAGAATCGTGGAAAAGAAAACCAGATAAGTGCTTTGTGCAATTAACAATGTTTAAAAAACTTGAATGCCAGGTGCAGATCAAAATTATTAACCAAAAGTAATCATTCATGATAATGATATTTATCATAAAGGTAGAATTTAAGGCATCGTAATGCGACCGAGAACGAGCAACAGAAGAATGTCGCAAACCTATTACTGCAATTTTGGCACAGAGGTATTACAATACATATCATTAAAATTTTCAGAAAAAATGAAAGACATTTGCAAAATATTTATGAAGACAGACATGTCTCAAAATACTTGATCAGTGAAGCAAAAAATTTATTGTTACCAAACCTTGTCCATCTTCCTTCATGATAAGCTCTCGTTTCATTATGTCATTTTCATTCTTTCCACGCCTTCTATTTTTGCCACCTTTTCCTTTATTCTTCGGCATTGGAAATCTTAAACTAAACTGGAAAGAAACGGCCCTCTAACTGTACTTGAATCTGCAACTGACAACGTCAAATCACGCAGGCATTTAAGCAGTTACCCCCAATCTTAACAGAATGGGAGACATCTGATGAAGCTTTTAAAACCGAGCAGCAACAAAGAATACAGTTCGGGAATAAGATGTTGTAAATTTTTTGCCCAAATTGTGCTATGGGTTAACAACAGGATAACAAAATAATTCTACAAGTAAAAGAACAACAAATCATTCTAGTAAATAATCTAATAAAAAGATATTTTGAAACAGTCCCTAAAAAAGGAAATAATAAGAGGCAAGAAAAACAATGACAGCAATGCAGCTGGACAAGTGGACTTCACGAAAACGACCCAAAAATTTTAAGAGATACAGAACAAAATTGCGTCAGAATCACTGATTAAACTTAAGTTGCAAGTTTATTAGACACCAGCAGATACAGGTGGGCTGTTCCCCAAATGCCCATAATATCCTACATGAACCAGAAAAACTGCAACAAATAGCTAGAACACCAATACTGCTGTGCAAAGCAATATTTTTAACTGTTGTACTTCAAAAAACTCATTGGCTATTATACAATAGCGTTGGGTCTTTATACTGTGCTGCAACAGAACACTGCTGTCTCACAACGAACTTGCCGGGATATCAATCGAAACGTTGCATCATACACCATCCCCAGATTAGGTGGGTATACAGTTAGGTATTTTAAGAGCTAGTCGACCTGTACACATATAGACATGTGTACATATGTATATATAAATGCATTTGATTGTTATTCGCAATATAGTGTACAGTTGCGTTGACGAAGGTTTCCTTGGTCATATCTAATAATCCTATCTTTGTATTTGACACTATCAAGTGTTTAAATGTCCATGGAGAAAAACCACTTAGAATTTTGGCAATTTTTTTTTTTGTATTCACAAGGGTGCTACGGGTGGGCATTACAAAGAATCAGGTACTGATGCTACACTTACTTTCCTTAACGATGAACATTTGATGGTTTTTTTGTCGTTTTTTAAACTAAAGCTTTGGCGTTGACAAAAATGTAAGAAACCCTCCCATGGGGCTTCCGCACAGCTTAACCATGGTAGCATAAAATCTGCTTAGTTTTCTTTGCTGTGTCTTACCAGTGGATAAGAAATTGGAACTTCATAGAGCTATTTGGCATTCATTCGCCATATTCTGTAATTTTCATTTGATGATTTTGAAGTCGATTTACTTGGTTGTTTCTAATTGTTACTGCTTTTCTTTTCGAATGGGGAAAAAAAGCAAAACTTTCATTAAAACCTCGCAGTTATATAAACTTACAGTGAGATTAGCGCTTTTAGAATTTTATTTGGGCTAGAGACTACCATAAATTGTACACCATTTTAGAAGTGTATGAGTTTATCGGCAGGAGACCCTAATACAGCTGGAGTAACTAAATCAGAACAAACTTCCACTGTAGAGAAACCTGGTCTTATTGGCAAATTTTTTGACCCATTGTTTGAACAACGATCACAAGTAAGCGTTTTGCATTGAACGGTTCGATACGGTTGCTTGTTGTGTTTGCTTGAAGCAAGAAGTTCTGCAATTCCCCCTGTTAAGTTCATAGCCCATTAGTGACACTAAGCTCCCTAAGATATGGATCTTAAGTGTGGCAAAAGTTCGCTTATAATAAAGTTCACTTAAGCAGACTTTTGACAAAGCAAATTCGGAAATAAATTTGTTTAAAATTTCTCCATTTGCATATTGTCAATTCTGTCTGATTCTTTTAATCTCATCTTTCTTGTTACGCATTCATGGGTGTTTGAATAAATGGTCCGTAATTGTACGGTTTTAAAGATCAAACACTTATGAATTTATAGGCAGCCGTTCGTTCATTTCAGCAGCAACACATAAGCGTAATTATATAGCAAATATGATACCCCAGTAGTTTGAGTGCGACATTGAATAGGTAAGACGTCCGAAAATTAGTATTTTTCCTACCCTTAGATTTCGGAAAACTTATTTTTTTGAAGTGTTATTGGGTTGCCTTTTCTTAGGGTTGTTGCTGAGGCGCCTTCAAAATTTATTGCTGTTTGGTTTTTTTGAGCTCTCTTCTTTAGTGTACTTCTTCAACGCTGTTCATTTCCACTAACATGGTTTTTTAATACTCATTTTGAAAAAACTAGGGGTAGACAGCGTGACTTACACATAAAACTTTCCCAAAATTGTGTAGTTGATAACAAGATGTAGCGTAATGTGTGCATAACTGGATATCTAAGTAAAATCTTC